TCCCTGCCTGGCGCTCGGCATTAATGGGTACAACAAGGACTGGTCGGCTCGGAGTCAGTATAATGTGTCTGAGTGGGGTATTCATGCATCACTGCGGCATGGTATCTCAGTGGGCTAGCACTATAAAACCAGCTTCAGTCTGGGCTAGTACAAGCAGCCGCACATACACATACACACGCAAGCACGTCGTCATATGAGCGAAATATTCTCAAGCACGACGTTAAACCCAATTTCACCTCACCTCACCCTTTGAGTCAGTTTGCTTTGTGAGGCTAGACAAACTGACAATGCAGCTTATCGGTTACATTATCGAAGGCTGACCATCTAGGCTAATTGTCAGGTTAAACTGACTTCCATAATCTTGAGAATCAATTAGACGAAGTTGACATGTATATACTGAGGGAAACAAATAAGGGAACACCACTTCATGGCAGTGTTCTTTTGTCTATTCTCAGATTTCCTCCCACAGTGCTGTTCATAGCTGTGATGAAAACAGGAAAATATTAATTATTAGAATTTTCCTGTGTTCCTTTATTTGTTTCTCTCAGTATATTTTAGTACGTAGGAAACTCTTGGTGTCACGGAAGATCTCCGTTGTGTTGAGGCTTATTGCTGGGTTTTGTCGCTTTTATTTACATATACTCATGCCAATAATGATTGTCACCCCCTTCAATTTTGTTAATTGGAGAGGGGGTGTGGGGTGTGTGTTTGAGGTGTATGTGGGGTTGGGGTGGGGAGGGGGGTGACAACCATTATTGGCATGAGTATATTTAGTTTTATATTTTAGTAAAAATCCATTTTTTTTATCTCTTGCTTTGAATTGAACGTGTATCTGAACCGACAATCTACTCCCGTATTTACCGTTTAGCATGAGGCCGTTGAATGTTCAGGGAGTGAGTAAGTGAGTGTGGTTTTACGCCAATTTTAACAATATTCCAGGAATATCGCGGTGGTGGACACTTTGATTGTGCTTGACACCATGTGGTGAATCGAACTCGGGTCTCCGAAGTGATGACCAACGCGTTATCCACCCGGCTACCCCACCGCCCCTCAATACTCCTGGACTAACATTCGGCTCTTCAACAGGTTAGAAACTTTCTTCTGGAAGAAGCCCTTTAGGGGTACTAATAACACATTATTTTTCAGAACATATATCACGTTGAGTGAACGATTACATTTTATAAACTGATGACAAACTCCGTTTCTCCAGCATTTCTGACAACAGGGTACTGTTTTCTATTTTCTTTCTTTCTTTTTTGAAAATCCAATGTCGGCTATTTAGCGTAGTCCTAAGTACGAATGATCAACTGCTTATCAGAATCGCAAGTACGAATGGTCAGTTAATTAACGATAGGACGTGTACAGCAAGAAAACAAAGAGAAGTAACTCCACTCACCTACACTATGCTGGAACGAAAACCTTTAGAGTAATCGCCCTTGTTACAATTGACCCGTGTTACAATTGCCCCTGGTCTCCCCTAAGTACGAATGACCGGGTTGACCGGGTTGATCATCGTCACTGCATCGTCAGTGTACTTCATCGGTTCTCAATTGCGTAGATTGATGCTCATGCTGTTGATCACTGGATTGTCTGGTCCAGACTCCATCATTTACAGACCGCCGCCATATAGCTGAAGTATTGCTGAGTGCGGCATAAAACTAAACTCACTCACACATTCACGAATGATTGGCTGTTTAACGATAGTCGCATACATGCCGATACATGGGACGATCCAGTTGACGTCCTTACTTCACGTGCACTGTGCCATTATTATTCCACGTGTATTCATTCATTCATCAAGAATCGTTCCATTTTTAGAGAATGTCACTGTACATGGCCTCAATATTTTTAGCTCCAGGTTTCGGGAAGATAAAAACCGTGTTTGAATCCAGATTCTAACAAATTAGTTTTGGGTAGTTTATTTTGCTCGTCAGTGTATCAGTGTTAACAGTATTTTCATCCCGACGAGCATGGTATCAGATTTCCATAAATCTATAAATATCTTAACGAACAGTGGCGGTTTATTTTCGTAAAACAGCCTTTGTTAATTGTTGCAAACAATATTTTCCTCATATCAAAGGTATCACGAGGGCATATTGATCACATGATCGAGGGGGAAAATACCAGCGCCTTGAGCATGCACTAGCTCGTGGATATGTGCGCAAAATATTCTATTATAATAAAATAATTCCACGCTGTTTCATCCTTTGCATGTGTTAGTTTCAAACTCAACTTGTGCTATACGTTTTAAGTTAAAGGGAAATTTCAAAACGACAAAGGAACTTCGTGGTCACGAGACAGCATCTGTAGGTCACGTGACAATATTTATGTAGGTCACGTGACATTTATATATACTCTTCCCAAAAAGAAACGTATAGGTGTATCTTCGTAAATTTCATCTTCTAACTTTAAAGTGAGATAACACAAGTAATTCTGACAGTATTATTCAAAGTATAAAAGATCAAATATTGGGTTAAACATACACTGGTGTTCAGAGGTTTACACTGTGTTAGCGCACCTGGGTATCATCAAAGTGAGATTATGCGGGTCGGTGAGTGAGTGTGTTTGGTTTAAGGCCGCTTTTAGCCTATTCAAGCAATATCACAACGGGGGACATCAGAAATGGGCTTCACACATTGTACCCATGTGGGGAATCGAACCCGGGTCTTCGGCGTGACGAGCGAACGCTTTAACCACTAGCCCCTGTGATTACAGGAGCTTTCATGCTATATTCATGATTTAAAGCTTCATTGTTATCACAAACCATTGACAATATGATTGGCCTAATATTCCCCAATGTGGGATATCTCATTTTGTCCAAGGAGAGGGGGTGCCAGGTAGACCATGACATGATAGTGGACACACGGCCTTTCTGAGCTCTCAGAGTGCATGTCTTCATGATTGGCACGTGTCTACTGTTTGCTATATACAATCGCTAATCAAGTATTCAAAGGTCAGGGGTTACTCAGAAGTGTGTAGAGTTGTCTTAAAAAACCCGTAAAACCCAAATCTTTCACTCTCCCACTCACTCACTCAACCACTCACTCAACCACTCACCCACCCACGCATTTTCGGTAATATATCATTATGTATATATTTCATTTTAATGATGAATATATTGCATTTTCGGGACATGAGTTCTTATGAATAGATTTCATTTCATTAACAGATTGCCTTCTCATCATAATGGGCTGTATTTTCTGCACATGGTTCTTTGGCAGATTGCATTTTTGGCGCATGAATCATCATGCAAGGATTGCATATTCGACACATGAATCTTGAATACATTTCATTTGCAGCACAAGGCCCATCATTGTTGCCAAACCTTTCCTGTTAACAAGGAAATATGCACTTTAGCTTCCTACTGATACAATAAAAGAATTATTATCCCTTACGACTTGCCTGAAATCGATAGCTGAAACTTCGAGACAAACAGCTTCCAAACAGATAACACTTGCCATATATATAGGGGCGGTGGGGTAGCCTATTGGTTAAAGCGTTGGCTCGTCACGCCGAAGACCTGGGTTCGAATCCCGACATGGGTACAATGTGTGAAGCCCATTTCTGGTGTTCCCCCGCCTTGATGTAGCTGGAATATTGCTAAAAGCGGCGTAAAACTAAACTCAGTCAGTCACTTGCCATATATGGAATGTAAACAATTTCTCTGTACATAGAAACCTGTCGCACGCGGTGTTCTCGGTGTTGTTGAACTGGTTTCAATCACAAGTTGTGCGTGGGATAGTCGTAAAGAGCGATCCAAGGGACATAACTCTATGGGGTTCGATTGAAATAATGTTCGGCCGGTTGAGGGCGCGATAGTCGATTTAATGCAACGTTGCATTAATTCATTCGAACTTTTTAATTTAATTGTAATCTAAATACGTAATGTTTTGGGCAATAAATTATATGGTAGCTTCCCTGAGGGCTGATAGTTAGTATCATTGAGAGAAATGCATTATGTATTTTTAGACAAATGTGGTGTGACATGGTGCCTTTAACTCTCTATCTTGTACACACTATTGTTCGGAGACAAGGCCCGTTAGTTGACATGTTGAATTACAGTAGGTCACGAACAAAGTCATCACAAACTGAACCAGGACGCGACAGATATTAAAGTTCACTTTTCTATTGTGTGTGTGAGTGAGTGAGTGAGTGAGTTTAGTTTCACGCCACACTCAGCAATATTCCAGCAATATGGCGGCGGTTTGTTAATAACCGAGTTTGAACCAGACAATCCAGTGATCAACAACATGAGCATCGATCTGCGCAGTTGGGAACCGGTGATATATGCCAACCAAGTCAGCGAGCCTGACCACCCGATCCCGTTAGACGCCTCTTACAAGCATGGGTTACTGAAGACCCACTCTAACTCGGATCTCCACGGTTGAGAGACAATGAACCATGAGAGTAGTTAGGTAGTTAAAGCATTCGCTCCCCACCCGAAAACCGGTGCTCTATTCCCAGATGAGTACAAGGTGTAAAGCAAATTTCTCATGACCCGTCGTGATACTGCTGGAATATGGTTAAAGGCAACATACAACCTAGTCTGTCTCACAGTCCCTGAACCACATTATTTTCCCCAATGCTTAGCTCTCCCTGCAGTGCTGAAGCCCTAAATGAAGCAAGTCTGAATCTCTGGTCTCACTGGGGCTCCTTTTCAATTTAAATGGGTTTATTTGCTACTATCAAAATTATATGCATTCAGGGACTAAACGTTAGTTTACATAAAACCAAACACAATCACTCACTGGCCCATGACAATCTCTCGTTGATGATAACAAAGTGCGCCAAAACGCCAGTCTTTGTGAAAATATTTTGCAAACTTCCAGACACAAGGAAAATGTCAAATCACATTCATTGCCAGTGATACTTAATCAAATAAATGGTACCCATGCACGACAAAGGACAATGGAAGAATAGCAGGAAAAATAAACCAATACAATTCAGTGAGGAAACATTTCCGAACAAGGAATAAGATCCGATCTGACAGGATGTTTTTTAAGTGTGAGAGGAAGATAACAACGGGTATAAAGGGACCATAAGGTGGCAGGGGTCACTGTGTGGCTCTGGTTCTGGGCAGGAAGGTTCCTCCAGGATGCTAATGGTGAGTATAACTTGGTTTGTACCAGCGCTAAACTCACAGTACACTATGGTCAGATTTAGAGTTGCCTCCCTTAATCGTGTCAGGATCCTTGGGTTGTACGCACAGTACCCTTCGCATTTAATGGTAAACTACTAAGACGTGTGTCTCTCTTTTTCTCATAAGAGACAGATTATTTTTCTCGTCACAGCTCTAGAGCTTTTCGTCTCAAAACGTGGAGCCGCACATTCTGTTTTTCGGAGAAAGAAATTAACAGATTTTCAGCGATTTTTTATCCACCGAGGGCGCATATTATAAGTTGTAGCATTGTGATGGGGGGTATACGGGATTTTATGCTTCCTGTGTTAGGTTTTATGCACCGAGCCGCAGGGACGCATAAAACCCTGTATACCCCGAATGCTACAAGGAAATTATCTTACCGAATGTTTAAATCTCTCATTATTTAAATATAACATTACAACTAACTGAAATTAAATCATATATTTTACAACATGGTACTGACAAGTCGATCCGAACCACTGGTTCACGGTTCACTGACTGCCGTGGATGCATGTTTTTCCATGGGGCGGGGTAGAAATCGCAAATATCTATACCCTGTTTTGGCGGTGTACGGCCGTGCACCGAGCATACATGGTAATTTGTTCAAGGATAACCCATAATATGCACTTTTGTAGAGGAGTTTATGCTTGATGGTTAATAGATATTTGGTATACAATTTGATATCGAGCACCAAGAATAAAGGGGCCCCAACAACCGCGAGATTGTGTTATTTAATGTGATTGTCACGTGGATTAGTGAAACTAGTGAATTCAAATAAAACTACCCGTGAAGATCCGGGTTAGAATATTGATCTTCAGTAACCCATGCTTGTGGTAAGAGGCAACTAACGGGATCTGGTGGTCAGGCTCGCTGACTTGGTTGACACATGTCATCGGTTCCCAATTGCGCAGATCGATGCTCATGCTGTTGATCACTGGACTGTCTGGTCCAGACTCGATTATTTACAGACCGCCACCATATAGCTGGAATATTGCTAAGTACGGCGTAAAACTCAACTCACTCACTCAAACAAAACATGATTTATCATTGCGCTTAATTTCATAACTGTATGGGTCAAATGATCATCCGATACTAAAACAACGCAGATCTGTCTCGCAACAATTCCAATCACCACTTGCAACATTTGGTTCTGCTATTTCTGAAGGCACATCATGGGCAGATCACACGAAGAAGAAAGTGATCGTTTTCTGAAACGTAACCATGGAACAGTTAAGAAGGATGTCAAACTTTAATGGCACGTTGATGGAGTCTCTCACTTGAAGTATCATTTCTTCAAGTATCATTACTTGAAGTATCATTTATTGAAGTATCATTTATTGAAGTATCATTACTTGAAGTATCAGAACTTTGAAGTATCAGAACTTGAAGTATCATTACTTGAAGTATCAGAACTTGAAGTATCAGAACTTGAAGTATCATTATCAGAACTTGAAGTATCATTACTTGGAAGTATCAGAACTTGAAGTATCAGAACTTGATGTTAGTATACATACTCATGAAGATCCGGGCAAGAATTGATCTTCAGCACTCCATGATTGTGGTAAGAAGCAGCTAACTGGATCGGGTGGTCAGGCTCGCTGACTTGGTTGACATATGTCATGTTATGAGTTGCGTAGATGAATGTTCATTCCGTTGATCACTGGATTGTCTGGTCCAGACTCGATTACATTTAGACCGCTGTTATACAGCTGGAATATAGCTGAGCGTGGCGTTAAACAACAAACTAAACCTACTGTCAACCTCATGGTACCTGGACGTCAGCTGGCTTCGTGTTCCGCTCAGTGCCGCAAAGCAAAATTGAGTAATTACAGCCCATTTTAATGGAGTCACTTACATATGACAAATTAAAAATTCAATTGAACATTTGGGTTTAAATATTATTGCTAATGAGGGTTTGAAACAACCAAATCAAATACATCGTCGAACATGACCGACAATAAACCGACGCCAAACAAATAAGTGAGTGAGTGAGTAAGTGTGGTTTTACGCCGCTTTTAGCAATATTCCAGCAATATCACGGCGGGGGAAACCAGAAATGGGCTTCACACATTGTACCCAAGTAGGGAATCGAACCCGGGCCTTCGGCATGACGAGCGAACGCTTTAACCACTAGGCTACCCAGCCGCCCCGAAAGACAAAGAAACGTCATAATATTGGAACATGTAGAGTGTTCTCATGTCCTGTAACACTTTCGGGTTTGAGTGGACATGACGGTGCTTTGAACATTATTCCACTTATAATAGTGTTATACATGCACTGAAAGGCAAAAGACTGATGAGTAAGGTTTTACGCCGCTTTTAGCAATACTCCAGCAATATCAAGGCGGGGGACACCAGAAATGGGCTTCACACATTGTACCCATGTGGGGAATCGAATCCGGGTCTTCAGCGTGACGAGCCGACGTTTTAACCACTAGGTTACCCCACCGCCTCCCCAAACAAATAAAATATCAAGTTTTTTACCGTCTCTTCAGAAACAAACATAATCTGTATTACATAGTATTGCGTGCATGACTGACTATCGTTGTATTTGTCCACAGGTGAAGTGGTTGTCGGTGCTGGTTACGGTGGCCGTGGTGGTAGAAGGATCTGGTGAGATTTCCTGGTTATTCTCGCTGCTTGAACGTCTTGAGAAATCCAAACAGAATGAAGTCCTCACTCAAGGCGGCCCTCCAGATTTTGTCAACTGCAGTCCAACATTTTCCTGCCCAGACACGTTCAAGTGCTGTAAAAGCTCTATCGGCTTTTATTGTTGCCCGCCGGGGATGGTCTGTGGCACACCACCAATGACGTGTCATATTGCGAGGCCTTTACTCTCAAAGGCTTCTGCTGGGGGACAGACAAACTTTAACAAGGAACGAATCGATTACAGAGGACCCACGGGAAAGAACGTTCTTCAACCAGCTCTCAAAGTTGGAGACCAGAAAAAGGGGCAAATGACAGGTGACGTCCAAGACAGAGGTGGCCTGGCGTCGTTAGGCGACAACGTTGAAGCCACGTTACAATACGCTACTCAAGACGAAGCTGGGTTCTGTCTTCCTCAACAGACAATCTGTCGTTCCCCTATCGGGTTGAGATGCTGCCCAGTGCCTAATGCCTCCTGCTGCATGAACGGCCTCCACTGCTGCAGAGCAGGGTCCGGCTGCGTGAATGACCAGTGTATAGCACCTTCATTTCCAACATCTGCTTCATCCGACTCAGAAACCAGTCTCCTAGGAGCGACATCTTCAGCTGCTGTCTTCTTCTTCAATCAACAAGTCAGAATAAGAACCAGACCCGGAAGTAAAGCAAGATCCGGATTTCTAGCGGCAAAGAGAGCTGGATCAGGATTTGGAACAGGAACACAAACTGATTCTGGAGCACCAGCTGGAGATGGTTTGGTACCCTGCAATGCAACCGCTTCCTGTACCCAGGAACAGACCTGCTGTAAGCTGACGAGTGGAGACTGGGGATGCTGTCCGTACCAAAATGCTACGTGTTGCCAAGACGGACGCCATTGTTGTCGGAATGGTTACACGTGTGACCAATCCAAGAAAGCGTGCTCCAAGAATGGAGTTGTCCTGGACTGGTCTCTCAAGCATCATGCTGTGAAGAAAGAGCCATAAAGGTGTCTGTATCACAGAACTATCAAATGAAAACCAGCCTTTCCTTTTCAAACTTCATGATTCATTCTGCGAGCAAACAAAAAAAGATAAAAAATAAATACCTAAAACATTATAACAATACTTTACCAATATCTAAATAGGTTTACTGTCCATCATGTAAAGGACTTGTTCACATAAAATCGCCAAAGACGATTTTCTCCAAATTTATGTCGCCACACTTCGATGTTTTTTTCATCTCAGTTTCCCCCGATTGCCACTCAACCAAGCCATTAAGTATTGTGAGACCTCCTTGTCTGTGGTCCATCGTAGTCTCATCCCAAAGGCATCACTTTTTAGTATATATTCATGTCGTTAGTTGCAGCAAACTGAATAAAATGCTTAAAACATGTAGAGTGTTCTCATGTCCTGTAACACTTTCTGGTTTGAGTGGACATGACGGTGATTTGAACATTATTCCACTTATAATAGTGTTTTACATGCACTGAATGGCAAAAGACTGACTGAGTAAGGTTTTACGCCGCTTTTAGCAATATTCCAGCAATATCACGGCGGGGGACACCAGAAATGGCCGTCACACATTGTACCCATGTAGGGAATCGAACCAGGGCCTTCGGCGTGACGAGTGAATGCTTTAACCATTAGGCTACCCACCGCCCCGAAAGACAAAAGAAACGTCATAATATTGGAAATGACATTTAAGTATCAATGGAGTATTTGAACCTATATTTTTTTTAAATATACACAGGAATGACTCGTGGTCGTATAGCCTGTTTTGCCATGGATTTACGAAAGCCTGACGTGATACAGGCCTCGAGCGTTAGCCACGTTAGTGAAACCCATTAACATGGGCAGAGGAACCCTGAGTTAGAGTGAGTGAGAATGATTTTACGCCGCTTTTAGCAATATTCCAGCAATATCACGGCGGGGGAACACCAGAAATGGGCGTCACACATTGTACCCATGTGGGGAATCGAACCCGGGTCTTCAGCAAACGCTTTAACCTTTATATTGCAGGCAAGAGTTAGTGACAGACTATTAGTTATGTATTTAGATAGTCACTATATGAAGATCAAAGATGTCGTTTCATGCATTCAAGAACGTGGTGGTGGTGGTGGAATTGGGTTTAACGTCGCGCTGGAGAATATTTGGCTCATATGACAACGTGCATGCGTGTGTATGTGTATGTGCGGCTGCTTGTACTAGCCCAGACTTAAGCTGGTTTTATAGTGCTAGCCCACTGAGAAACCATGCCGCAGTGAAGCATGAATACCCTACTCAGACACATTATACTGACTCCGAGCCGACCAGTCCTTGTTGTACCCATTAATGCCGAGCGCCAGGGAGGGACCAACAAGTACCATATTTTAACGTCTTTTGGTATGACGCGGTCGGGGATCGAATCCGCGACCTTCCGCACTCCGGGCGGACGCTCTAACCACTACACCACGGAGGCGGTCTTCAAGAACGTATGCAATTGTGTACATTTTATATGCTTAAGCCTCAAAAGATGCAGAAACAGTATGAGTGTAGCTGTTAAGAATCGAATATCAGCCAATGAAAACGTTTCTCATGTTGCAGCGTTCCCTGGGGCCACGCCCCGAAAAGGTTTGTGTTCAAAATGGAATACCAAGCGTGTGATTTCTTGGACATTCACATACTTTCCAACCAATATTCTGAATTAATCTCTCTCTGAAATTGGCAACAAAAGTAGAGCAAATTGATACTCGGACGAAATTACCAGCCACTTTTCCCCAATAATGAGTGACAGAAAGCGTAGCAACAACGGTTTTTTCCACCCAGGATCAAACTACCGACGAACCGCTCTATCCATGGTGGCAGTGGTTATGCTCAGTGTGGGACTTAGTTTGAACCTGAGCAAATGAATTAAAATATATCTCATGCATGTCCTGCCTGTACTGAGTATGGTTTTAGAGTGCTTCCAGCAAGTTTTCTGCAATATCCAGGCATGTGGGAATTCGAAATCCTGGTCTTCCATGACAAGCCAACACCTTAACCACAAGGTTCCCTATCCTTCCCAGTGTGGTAACCTGTTGACACATGCACTACTACAACTGTTAACATGGGTTTCACTTGTCACAAGTATAGACACTCACCAACTCGGACCCAGACTGCCTGACTGACTGAGTTTGGTTTTACGCCGCTTTTAGCAATATTCCAGCAACATCACGGCGGGGGACACCAGAAATGGGCTTCACACATTGTATATTCGAACCCTGACGAACCAACTCTTTAACCAGAAGTACTTGGAGGTAACAAATAAATGTAAGCTGAAGAATCCTGGTAAAGGATTCTACGGATTCGGTACTGAAGCATATGATTCTCCATTAGCAAATGTCTTTGTCAAACATATTAATGTTTACCAAGAAGTTGAGTACCTTGAAGAATGAAATGAATGTGTCTACTTCTTGCAATTGACAAAGCAGCTTGGATTCTCCTCAGGGAGCTGAGTATTAAAATCAGGTGCACTTACCAAGCAACTTTGGAGTGAATGAGTGTACTTTTACGTCATGCTTTTTTTCAAATATTCCAGCAATATCATGGCGGGGGAACACCATTAATGGGCTTCACCCAACGTACCCGTATGGGAAATCAAACCCGGATCTTCAGCCAACTGTTTTCAAGCAAGCAGAATAGAATAGAATAGAATAGAATAGAATAGAATAGAATAGAATAGAATAGAATAGAATAGAATAGAATAGAATAGAATAGAATAGAATAGAATAGAATAGAATAGAATAATACTTTAATGCCTTTTCAGGAATTTGTGTTACATCAGCAGAGCTACTAACACATTAGAGAGATACCAAACATATTTATCAAATTCATTGATTTAGGTATCTTCACATTTGTTTAAGAGAGATATGGTACTTGGAATAAAGGATGTACGGGCTCTCTTAGTTTTCACAATTGGAACTTTGTAGCGGCGGCCTGAAGGGAGAAGGTTGTATTCCGAATTATAGTAGTGAGTACGGTCAGATATGATTTTGACAGCTTGATTCACGATTTGCCGCTCATATATTGATGATAAACATTCAAATCTGACTCCAGCGATTTTACTTGCAGTGTTAACAATTTTGTCTATTTTAGATTTGAGATGAACTGAGAGAGACCCGTACCAACAATGGAAGGAAAATGTTAAAATACTCTGAATAAATGCTACATAAAAAGATGACATCACAGATGGGTTAACATTAAAAGATCTCAGTTTACGCATGAGATGAAGACGTTGTTGACATTTTTTGTATAGGGTTTCAGTGTTAGAGTTCCAGTTCACCTTAGAGTCAATGAAGGTTCCCAGATACTTATACTCCGACACTGTCTCAACACGTTCACCGTTGATTATCACTGGAAGCATTTCTGTGGGTTTACTCCGAAAGTCAATTATCAGTTCCTTTGTTTTTGTGACATTTAAGAATAGGTGGTTTTCTGCACACCAAGTCGTAAAATGATTAATGTCCTCTTTATACAGTTCTTCAGAATCAGTGTCGTTCAGTTTGCCGACAATTGCTGCATCATCTGCGAACTTTACAGTTGAACAGGTTGAATTCGAGCTTGCACAATCATTAGTGTAGAGGGTGAAAAGAACAGGAGATATTACACAGCCTTGTGGTGCGCCAGTGTTGGTGGTCCGTTTACTCGATACAGCCCGTTAACTTTCAGGTACTGCTGTCTGTCCACAAGAAAGTTTTCAATCCACTTGATGAGGTATGAGTTAACGCCCATGTCTAACAGTTTCTGTATCATGATATGTGGCTGGATAGTGTTGAACGTAGATGAAAAGTCAACGAAGAGGATCCTGATGTATGACTTAGGTGTCTCTAGATGTTTATAGACATTATTCAGGAGAGACAGTGTGGCATCAACAACTCCTCTCCTTGACCTGTAGGCGAACTGAAGCGGGTCCAGTATGTCGGAAACTTCCTGACGGAGATGTCTCAACAAGATGCGTTCCAGCGACTTCATTGCCATAGATGTGAGAGCAACTGGCCTGTAGTCGTTGAGTTCTTTAGGTTGTCTTTTTAGGAACTGGTACAATTTCTGATGTTTTCCAGACCGAAAGAATAATGTGTCTATTCACTGAGAATTGAAACAATCTAGTGAAAACTGTACACAGTTGAAGTACATACATTATCATTACAATTATCAAAAAGAACATAACAAGCGTGAAAAAAGATGCAGTATTTAATGAAATTACTGGGCATTGACAAAGGCAATAATCGATACATGTTTAAATAGAAACAGTTTCAGTTGACAAACAAATGTTAAAAGTTGTATAAAACAAATGGCATAATTGACCAAATGTAACATCTAATCCCCATGACAAGGAACCCAGGTCTCCTTGTCAACGTGTCGGTCTCTTCAAACTGAAATCCTTCCACAAAATATTCTACACTGACTATGGATATTAATCATGAATACAACACTCGCTGAACTCCTCAATGAGAACTCTCTAGTAGCACTGGACAAAGAAATCATGCAATCTGTACTGGAATTTCAATTTGAAAAGACAATTTGCATACATATTCAGAAATGTGGTGTCATTCCTCCAGAATGAGATGAGATTTATTTACTAGAATGAATTATTTACTGACATGGAATCTGTTTAGTGCTCCTATGAAATTCAACATATTATACATCACATGAAGGAGATAATATTTATTTGTGTGTTGTTTACGCCACTCTCAGCAATATTCCAGCTATATGGTGGCAGTCTAGGAATAATTTAGTCTAGACCAGACAATCATCACTGGATATACTGGATCAAACAAAACTGAGTATGGTTTTTCGCCGCCTTTAGCAATATTTCAGCATTATCATTTCGGGGGACACCAGAAATTGTGTTCCCATGTGGGGAATCGAACCGGGTCGTACTCATGAGCAAATGCTTTAACCATCCAGCTACCCTAATTCACCCCTGAACAATTTATTGGTTTTCCATAAGTATCAAACTTTCGCCCCCTAAAATGTAGCATATAGAAAAATACAGTTTTGAATTTGTTAGCTGGGTTTTAACGTTCAGCAATATTCCAGCTCATGTCAAACTAATTAATCTGGCCAAGGCCAGACAAACAGTGGATACTAAGAGCAAAGTGCCATGACACAGAGTCAACTTGGCTGGCAATATTTAAAATCAGTCCATCCCATAATTGATACAACAGACAAGTTGTACTCATTAAATCAGACATAGAATTGTTCTTAGCCACTAACCAAATAAATCATCAAAAAAACACATGGAGCTATCAAATTTAGGAATGTTTCCCAAGACCAAAAATACCAGGAATCACCTAGACTCACTTAGTTCGGGTTTCCTTACTATTAAGACATGGAAGTTCATGAGTATTCATTGTAGCACAGAGTGAGTGAGTTTTAGTTTTACCTTTTAGCAATATTCCAGCAATATCACGACACCAGAAATGGGCTTCACAGTTGTACCCATGTAGGGAATCGAACCCGTATTCAACCACTAGGCTACCCCACCGCCCCTTGTAGCACAGAAAAATGGCATGTTTAGAAAACTGTAGAGAGGCCATAGCTCACAATAAACAGGTATTTATGTATTCACCCCAATTCTTAAAATGTGACGAGGGAACCATTTGTTTTTCGAATATTTCAGCTGACAAAATATTTAAATGTGATTCACAGTGTTCAGTATTACAATTTGTAAAGGAGTTCTTGTACAAAACAACCACAGCGCTACGACTTGAAGTTCTGCGTTCAGGTATAGTCACCTTACTGCTAAGATCATTTCGCACTGATATATTTATTCAGGTAAAGTGTGGTGTGAATACCAAGATTTGTTTTCTATTTCCTTCATCTACTTGTGGACATTAAACAGATGTATAGCAGTAGGTTTGGTAGTGAGTGAGTGAGTGAGTATGGTTTTGTGCCATTTTTAAGCAATATTCCATCAATATCTCGGCAGGGGGCAGCACAAATGGGCTTCATATTTGTACCCATGTAGGAAATTGAACACAGGTCTTCGAGTGTGACGAGCGACCCCTTTAACCACTAGGCTACCACTCTGCCCCTTTGGTAGTAAAGCATAGTGGGATGAACATCTACTAACTACTTTATCGTGGTCTAAACATGCACAATAACTGATTACCAGTGCCGAAACATCACAGACATGTTGGCTGAAACAGTGGCTGGTGAAGCAAGTGTACAAAAGCATGAAGCAGGGTACACAAAGCTTTACTGTACAGTATAAGAGCATCATACAATTCATCTGTACACTGAGCACAATGGATTAGCAAATAATAATAACAGCAACTGACTAAAATGTTTGCTTTTCATGTTTTCTCCCTATTTGAATAAATCTTAAACAGTACTCAAAAACCATGGAATTAAGACCCTGTTTTTATTAGAGTTACCTCCCTTGGTAGCTGCTCAAAGAGAACAGACATGTTTTCTGAGTGTGTTTGAAAGACCTTGCAGCCATACTGGGTTCCTAATTAATTAAAGAAACAAAGCGTACTGTACCACCCACACCCTTGTATGAGAATCAAAACCAGGGATGCAAGACTTTGCCTACTTGCATCTGACAAATCTTAACAACTGAAACCAGTTGCAATATTAAGTCCAGACTGAGATATTCACTTCAATTAGAACTTATTTTATTAACATTGTTATCAGGTAAAAAGGATGACATAGCACCATTGTAGAGAATTGGAATATCAAAATGCTGATTACAGAGAATGTTCTGACATATTCACACAAGTTTGAGAAAAGTCACCCTGATTTATCATGTGATTCGACGGAGATACTCAAGCTCTTCGCTGTTCAATATTTGTGGGTCGTCTAGGACCAGGTTTCAGTGCAGAGATTGATGAATGCTTCAGCAGCTCCACTGAAACCTCACACAATGCTGAAACCTTACTGAAACCTCACACAATGCTGAAATCTCAGATGATGCTCAGTAAAGGATTGAAATGCCTCATCATCAGCTCTATGCTCGACTAAACCATATTCAACATAATAAATGCCCTGGTCCACCACCTAATCTCTTCAAAACTTCACTTCTTTATGAAGGAAGCATGTACAGAGTCAATTTGCATGAGAATTTTATATTCTTCATTTTATAACATTTATTTAATATTTTTATCTAACTATATTTTATAATATTCTCATTACATTTCATGATACTTTTAGTCAAAAGTTGATTCTTAAAAAAAAGCCCAAGTGATCTTTGAAAATGAAAATGAAAAAAATAGTTTTATACCCTGGGCATGTATGCCAAACATGGTAGAATTACGTCCAAAATCGTAACATGAGGGTTTGTCTTTCAAACCAAATAATTGACTAACTGCTTGAAATATCTGCACAAACCTCATCACATACAATACTGATTTGTAACATAATATCCAGCACTTAAGAATGTTTTCTACTTGAGGATGTACAACTCTGAAGTCATTTTATTCTCCTAGCAGAATGTACATCCTGGTTGTGCTATCTAAGCATTGACTAACATTATGGCTCCAGGGGAGACAACTCTGAGCAGCCCCATGAAACACTTCCTTGCCACCCTCAATTTTCCCATGTTCTACACTCCATTCTTCTGAAAATATCCTTGACCATTCACTACCATAGCTCAGATTGAGACCAACTGAAATGGCACAGCACTAGAAATAGCAATCCAATCAAATTACTCTCATCGGTGAAAGAAATTCCATCTGAAGTCTCCAAACAGGAGAGATTTAGCTGGTGCTGCCATGGTGAATCCGTCCAGGGTGTTTATGATAACATCAACCATTAAAACACCCTGCATGGTCGAGGATGGTTGTCTGTGTACACAAGTAAAACAAAGCTCATCTCCTATCAATAGCATGCTAATAGGAAGGTCTATAGGAGTACATACAAAATGAGCATTGGTCTAAATACATTTGGTACAAGATGCTAGTCTATTGATAATAGAGAAATTTACACCAGACTAATAAATAACATTTAATACAAGGCCAAATGTCCACTTAATAAATAGTCTCAGCAGATCATATTCCAAATCACAGTCACTGCGACCCATTTGTTACCATTCAGAACTATTTTCTTCTGAAGACAGAACCTACAAGACAAAGGTCAATGTGATGTCATGTTTCCGGACCTGCTTCCATGAGCTTCTGTATATTAAACATTAGACTTATTAATTATTAATTATTATTTGTGTAAAACAATTCATTATTGTGACTTATGGACGTTTTTATTTTTTTCGCCTCAGGATAAAGAACAAAACGTTAGCACTGGAAAAATGCTGTGAGGTTTGATTTAATGTTCATTTCGCAAAAACGTTTGGAATTAGTCAATGAGGACACCCATCACTGGATTTTCACTTGTCTGTAGCACAATTCAGTAGTCTCGGGCTATCAGACCATCATGAATTTTGAAGATTTGGAACTTGGACAAAAAATGTCCTCCCAACTTGTGTGCATTATGAAATCTTATTACGCAGTATTATTTCACAAAAACAAAAATAATAAACAATTGATGTAGGACGACTTGGGTTATATTTGGGACAAGGCTGCATTATGTAAACAGGAAAGTCCTAAAGCATGACATGGCAAATCATCACAAAGCTTCAGCCCAATAACAATCTGCACCATGACTCAACTGTCGAAACTGAAAGCCAGTCTGTGAGGAAACATCTTTGTAAGCTTTTGGACAGGGTAAATGTTTTGTAACATTTTAGTTTCAAATGCATCATCTAAAAAAAAACCACCCACTTGCATTGTTCCCCACATACATCCATCTCTGTTGAGTGGAGTACATGTGTACAGCATTAAACCCATCAACAAAACCCCTGCCACAACCTACAGCCAACCATCAACAGTGGACGTCTTGTACCCCTGGGAATAGAACCTTCATCTTCAGCATTATGAATCAATTCTTTAACCACTAGGCTACACTAAGCCCCCTTTTACAGTACAGTTTCAAAACTAAATCCCTTTAAAACTTCCTACAGAGGAATTATTAACAAAACTATCAGGATAAATGTATTCTTACAAAAGACACCTTAAATATACCTTCCTACTAGCGAGATACTACAATGTAACGCTATTGCTGATTGGAGAAACTTGCTCTGCTCAAAGCAAGAGATATTACGCTTGAAATTCTAGCAAACACTTGCTACTGACAATCAGATGTGTTATGGCTGTTTTACTGTAACAGAGATCTAGTGCGAGTTCAGAGATCGTTAATAAAACTGTGTTTAGATGAACACCACATATAAACTACTCAAAACAAATGAAAGAAAATCACCACTACCCATGAGACTGACAGATTAACTATTGTGAAATAATTTCTTGTTCTTTCACTTCTTTTGAGCAGCATTTAACCTAATCAGTCAGTTCGTATCGAAGCTGTGATTGCCATGAAAGGGTGTTGAGGTCGTCTATTGTATAGACTGACTGACTGACTGAGTTTGGTTTTACGCCGCTTTTAGCAATATTCCAGCAACATCACGGCGGGGGACACCAGAAATGAGCTTCACACATTGTACCCATGTGGGGATTCGAACCCGGGTCTTCGGCGTGACGAGCCAACGCTTTAACCATTAGGCTACCCCACTGCCCCTCTATTGTATAGAAATCTCTGGACATCAAAATATTAAACTTTTAACTTTAAGTAACAAAAAGGACCTATCTCAGTGTGTTGATATGGTTGATTCCTACAGAATCACAGACAACTTCAGGAAGGACTGCTGATGAAAGTGTGAAATCTCTATCATCTGTGAGTGAGTGAGTTCAGTTTTATATTCCAGCAATATCGAGGCAGGGAACACCAGAAATGGGCTTCACACATTGTACCCATATTGGAAATCGAACCCAGTTCTTCAGCTTGATGAGCGAACGCTTTAACCACTAGGCTACACCACCGTCCCATCTATTATCTTTAAAAAGTCGGAGCCCTTGACCTGATGCTCACAGACAACAAAAGAGGCATATCTTACAAGTTTATACCAAAACATGAATTCAACAGTGTAGTCAAATCAATCTTTTTAAAGGGTCCATTAAGACATGGTATTCTGAATATTCCTCGTGACAATCTACGGACATGTGACATATTTATTCAAAACAATGAGGCTGTCCATGCAACCAAAATACCATGAAGCTGAAACAGGTGTCGAAATTTTCATAGCGATATTATAGAGCAAGAGTGCATCATTTTAGTTTCAATCTCAAAATGTCATACATAATTCAATACAAGAATATTTGTACAAGTACATTTACACATGGCATTTGATTTGCAAAAATGATTTTAAACATTTAAATTCTGAGTTGAAGGATTTCAAAAGCCTTGTTGCTGCAACTGGTAGCAGCTCTGCATGAAGAGTTACCTCCCTTACACTACAAGCCATACATTGCATTCCATGCAAGCAGCACAATGATTGAATAGGTTGCGTACATTGGATATTGAAAAGTACACTTTTGGTCCTATCATATACAATGAAGCATATAAAATGTTCTTCAGGTTTTTCTTTTTACCTTTCCATCTTTCTATTCGTTAATCAGTAATTATCAACACACAAAAACAAATGTAACAATTTCAAACCTGAAAATCTGGATCTTACACTCAAATTTTGATGAAACATTATCAAAACATACATGTTAGCATGAATCCTGACATGCTGTTTCCAAAGACCCCACAGCTTTTCTCTAAATATCGAAACACATCGTTGTTTCCAAATGTTCAGAAACTGTTCCTGAAAAAAGTGACGCTGTCTGTGAACGGATGCCTTGGTTAGGGAGAGTCCTGGGACATCTGCCAACTGGTGACATCCATCCTAAGTCTTTCTCTAACCCTGTCCAGTCAACTTGGCTGGACACAGCGTGGCTGATTTCCGAGCCCCTAGTTTGGGCGTTGATGTGGAGATGTCTTTGCACAGTTGGGGAGAGTTATAACGAGGGGTGTTTGTTACAAAATGACACATTTCTTTTTGCGACTGTCTTTCTTTTTCTTCTGTTTGCCATTATTCTGTCGACTTGCTTCCATCTTCCGTGAGCGAATCTCCCTCATCAAATCGTAGAATACCTGAAACATAAAAAAGCCATCATTAACCATTACAAAGACTTAGATCCAGCAAGATCACCCATGCTTACCACAGGAGGTCATCAACAGGACTGGGTGGTCAGACTTGCTGACTTGGTTGATGCTTGTCATTGTATCACAAATGAGTCACTGGATTGTCTGGTCATGACATCATGACATCAATTTCTATTTTGAGTATAATTCCAGCACTGGTCAAGACAATACAGAAGTGAATTATCCGAAGTTAATAACCACTTCCTGTCCTTACCTTCATACTATGATGAAAATGTACATTATCACTACTATCTACTAGAGATTACAAAAACATTTCAAGAGGAATTTTTCTCCAAATGACCTGAAATAATTACTTTGTAATCAACAGTTGTGAAGAAAATACAATATTGTACTATTATTGCAATATGAACATATATCATAACGATTATTTTATTATTTAAACATTCTTGATTTTAGAAATGCAACATAGAAAACATTAACACAAAGTAATCACATCTTAAATATTTCACAGAACAACCTTTTAGCAGCCCACAGAAGCATACCAAAATAGCATATAAAAGTAGGCAGAAACAGATACAAGGCCCAAATTTAGTGCATGAATATTACATAAGAGTTCTATATACATTGCAACTGTGTGTAAGTGCAACGGGAGATGTGCAACAAGTGGGGATCAAGTCCAGTGTTGCTGGCAGGTGGTGAAATGATGGGGTTTTGTTTGGGGATTCTTGGAGGAAAGTAAAACAGCTGTACAGCTTCAGTACACCGATGGTGGCTTCAGTACACCGATGGTGGCTTCAGTACACCGATGGTGGCTTCAGTACACCGATGGTGGCTTCAGTACACCGATGGTGGCTTCAGTACACCGATGGTGGCTTCAGTACACCGATGGTGGCTTCAGTACACCGATGGTGGCTTCAGTACACCGATGGTGGCTTCAGTACACCGATGGTGGCTTCAGTTCAGCATACCGATGGTGGTTTCAGTACACCGATGGTACACCGATGGTGGCTACACCAATGGTGGCTTCAGTACACCGATGGTGGCTTCAGTACACCGATGGTGGCTTCAGTACACCGATGGTGGCTTCAGTACACCGATGGTGGCTTCAGTACACCAATGGTGGCTTCAGTACACCGATGGTGGCTTCAGTACACCGATGGTGGCTTCAGTACACCGATGGACTTTCAAACTGAGGCTCCGAAGTACAGGCTACAGTGTTCACGAATGGTGTTTAAAAGTAACAGGACATTAGGTTCTGACCCATTGAAAATGCACAGGACCCATAGAACAAAATTCAACAGACATTTCAGATTTAATATTCCTTATAATTGGCACTGAAATTATTAACATACATAAGATTTATAATCAGCAAACAATTGGCACATGACATACATAACAAATTCAGTCAAAGTCATTGTGAAATATACAGTCGGACACTGGAGCTGGCAGGTTGTAGACTTCTATCGCACAGTTGGCGAATCTGCCGGATTTGTCAGAGGGTCAGACGCTATTCGTGAACACTGCGACTACTGGTGATAGCAGCATCACTCACAGATAGTCTAACCCTAACACATCAATACAGGTGCAATGATGGAGGAATGCCATGATTGGTTATCTCCCCTTTCTGTTTCCAGCACATCAGCTCACAGAACACACAGACATGCAACCTGACCAATCACTATACAGGTGACAAGAAAGGAAAATAATTGTTGGTTATGTCCATTTTGCCATTCAAACAGTCAGATCTGCCACATGAACACACTGGTTTGACTTGAGAATTATTTTGGGGGATGTCCCCTTTTCTTTATAAGACTAACTGAAATTGGATTCAAGTGGCAGTGTAAATGTATCCAGATGCCAATTTTGTTTATTCTCATTCCATAAAATCAATGGAAATATCCTGAAACAGTGCTCCTTTTGTTAGTATAAACAATTAGGAATGATGATTCAAATGGTTTTACAGATTATATACATTCTTTTCTAAAATCTTTTTTCAATTTGAATCTAAAAAATGTTAATAATTTAATCCTTTAATTAAAAATATTGAACCAAATAAATTTTAACACTTTTGCCCAAAAGCTTGAAATATAGCGAAAGTATCAATAGTGTTTGTTTCAAATGTATTTACTGAAATACACCAATCAAAAAGGGTTGAAAACAACTCAATTCTTTAATGATTAAATAACTCTGTCATGGCAATGAGGACCTGACTTTTTCATACAGTTATATTAACATATTTACATAAGATAAATAACAGAATTCAAGATAATCTGTAAGATTCATTGTAGTTAAATCACCTCAGCCTTCTTTTGAGGAGTATATATTCAGCCAAGACGAACTATTCTAAGAAGAAGATTAATGGACCACATTTGCTTGCCTCTAATGTCCACAATTACAGACTAACATTATCTTAGAGACAAACACCAAGCAGTCAACACCCAATGGTTCCCAAAGAAAAAAGTCAATTCAATTTGGACTTCCCAGTTCAGGTCCAGAATCAAAGGTGAAGGTCAATATGACCATATTTTCATGGGAAGTGTTAAGTGGGGCTTCATGGGAACCTTGAAATTCAATATACGAAGACACTGGGCACTGACTTGGATCGGAAACAGTCTGCCTCACTGGAAGACCTGGAAATGTTAGCTCAAGGGTAATTGCTATTGACCACAAATAGCTATTTCCAACCCGTCAATCAATATGGCTGCCCGTTATTCAACTGATCGAGATCGAAGTTGAACTTATAATTTTAGAACCAAGATAAAGATTCAAGGCTTCAGGTTTAAAAGATTTCCAGTATAAGGTTATTCCCTACTAAACAACCCCTTGCACAAATAGATAACCGTTTTGCTGTGTGGAGACAACTACCTTGTCCTCCACAGCCAGAACATGTTATAAGTAAAATTATTGAACCACACAAACAGATCTACTGAGAAAGGAATATTTTGTCCAGCAATTTGGTTGTTAATTATTTGGCCAGATGAAAAAAATAATAATTTGATGCTTTTATAATCAGAATTATCAATCAAAATGAAACAATTTTTTGATAAATATACATGATTGAAGGGTACATATTTTCACAAACAAGTGTGTTAGTAAAAAAACATAATGATGTGGTTTAATGCCAGTTTGAACAGCATGTCATCCAGGTCCTAGACATTTACCACTTCAGTGAAATAAACAAGCCCAAGGATCATAACCTGGGCCAGTGTTGGATCCTGGACCACACAAGCCCAAGGATCATAACCTGGGTCAATGTTGGATCCTGGACCACACAAGCCCAAGGATCATAACCTGGGCCAGTGTTGGATCATGGACTACACAAGTCAAAGGATCATAACCTGGGTCAATGTTGGATCCTGGACTACACAAGCCCAAGGATCATAACCTGGGCCAGTGTTGGATCCTGGACTACACTAGCCAAAGGATCATAACCTGGACTACACAAGCCCACGGATCATAACCTGGGTCCATGTTGGATCCTGGACTACACAAGCCCAAGGATCATAACCTGGGTCAATGTTGGATCCTGGACTACACAAGCCCAAGGATCATAACCTGGGTCAATGTTGGATCCTGGACTACACAAGCCCAAGGATCATAACCTGGGTCAATGTTGGATCCTGGACTACACAAGCCCAAGGATCATAACCTGGGTCAATGTTGGATCCTGGACTACACAAGCCAAAGGATCATAACCTGGGTCAATGTTGGATCCTGGACTACACAAGCCAAAGGATCATAACCTGGACTACACAAGCCCACGGATCATAACCTGGGTCCATGTTGGATCCTGGACTACACAAGCCCAAGGATCATAACCTGGGTCAATTTTGGATCCTGGACTACACAAGCCCAAGGATCATAACCTGGGTCAATGTTGGATCCTGGACTACACAAGCCCAAGGATCATAACCTGGGTCAATGTTGGATCCTGGACTACACAAGCCCAAGCATCATAACCTGGGTCCATGTTGGATCCTGGACTACAGAAGCCCAAGGATCATAACCTGGGTCAATGTTGGATCCTGGACTACACAAGCTAAAGGATCATAACCTGGGTCAATGTTGGATCCTGGACTACACAAGCCCAAGCATCATAACCTGGACTACACAAGCCCACGGATCATAACCTGGGTCCATGTTGGATCCTCGACTACACAAGCCCAAGGATCATAACCTGGGTCAATGTTGGATCCTGGACTACACAAGCCAAAGGATCATAACCTGGGTCAATGTTGGATCCTGGACTACACAAGCCCAAGGATCATAACCTGGGTCAATGTTGGATCCTGGACTACACAAGCCCAATGATCATAACCTGGGACAATGTTGGATCCTGGACTACACAAGCCCACGGATCATAACCTGGGTCCATGTTGGATCCTGGACTACAGAAGCCAAAGGATCATAACCTGGGTCAATGTTGGATCCTGGACTACACAAGCCCAAGGATCATAACCTGGGTCAATGTTGGATCCTGGACTACACAAGCCCAAGCATCATAACCTGGGCCACACAAGCCCAAGGATCATAACCTGGGTCAAAGTTTGATCCTGGATCACACAAGGGACACAACTCTTCACAGCAAATTGTGGAAATTCTAGTGACTGATAGCTGTATCCTCAAAAATCTTTACGACATGTACTCCTCTAAGAAGTTAAGATGCCCTCTTCTACCATATTGCTACAACTAACTGCCAAGCCGAAGGACAAACTTTCCTTCTCCAGAATAAATTGTTCCATATTCATTACTTAAAAGACGACAAAGTAGATAAAACAATTATGGAGAACAATTTCCTTATTACACTGCATTAAAGAACAGTCTACATAGTTGCCAGGCAGGGAGTTGTCAACAAAGGACCACTGTGACAACAGTATAAGGAACAATGCAAAAACACTGTTCTTACAGAAAAACAGATCAATTGTTATCCATAATTTCTTGTCTGCATAGTTCTTGCATACAAGAATACTAAAACATTCTGCTTGAAG